GCGGGTGCTTTTAATGTTTCTGTTTTTCCGTTTCGTTCCTTTATTTTCGTTTTCATTTTTTATTTTGATTTGACCCGCGGCCTCCTCTCACCCCTTGCGGAAAATCTGCGTAATCAACGGCCAGCGGGGGAGGAGAAATAAGTTTTGCCGCAAAAATAAATAAATAAATAACATTTCGTATAATAAAAATGCACAGCCGCCAGTCGGGGGAAAACTCGGCAAAACAACAGGAAGCATAAATTTTGTTATTGCAGAAAAAAGGAAACCGGAAACAGTGCGGGCGGCAGGAAGGTGAAAAATGCGGAAAAATCGGGGCCGAACCGGTCGAACTTTGATGTGATTAGGCAGGCCACTCGCCTGGCCGGAAATTATTTAGTTTGAGCGACAGCTGGACTTGAAATTATGTTAACTTGTTCTGGTGGTAATTTAAAACAGAAATTTTAACCAATCGTTGAATTTGTATACATATCGGTCCTATGGCAGCAATATTATACATTTTTGATTTTTATAAAATCAATTCTAGAATCATGAAATATGGGAATATCTCAGACATCAATAAGACATGGCTTAACTTGGGAAAAATATTATAGTCTCCTCGAAGTCAGCCGCAATCTCAGACATTTTAATTAAAATAAAACGTATACTTAATAAACCATATCCATTTATTCAGATTTCATCCCCCAAATGACTATAATTTAATCACAGAACTCAGAGTAGAGGGCGATCTCCCAGTTTTTGGCTGAACCATATTCACCTGTCGCTCATCCAACTCCCAACAGCAACTCCCCGGCACATTTGCCAAATCAATATGCAATATCCCACAAGTAACGAATTTTGAATGCTCACACCTTACACTTCACACACCTGCAAACACACTCATACTCAAAACAAGGCAATCGAATATCGATGGGGCGAAAGCCGAACCGAACCGCCTGTCATAAAAGCCGCACTCGCAGTTGGCTGCATCGAGAGGCAACTGTGGCATGAAAAGAACACAAAAACTAGGTTAGTTGCCGAGATTTTTTTTTTTTACCATCGCCAACATGACCCCTGTGTCTCCCTGATTCCCAGCCACCTGCAAAAATAACAATTGCACCCCTGAACCTACGCCAGTGCCCGCTCCCAAGTCCCCCGTTCCCCACATCCCTGAGCCATCCGTTCTCCTCCTGTCTCTGCCAATGCATTTCAAAACAGAGAACCAGAAGAAGCGGTTCGGGCAAGGTGGTTGGCCACGCCTCCCGCCTCTCTCGACCCTCCTCCATATCTGTCAAGTGAACTGGAAGTGATACGGATATGTAGAGGGGGGGGACGGGGACTGCATCCGGAGAGCGACGGAGCGGAGCGGAGCGTAGCAAGAACGCTGAGCGTGTTCACGTGCAAAATTGCAGCGATTCCCAGGCGAGTTTCGGTTTCTCCTTCAAAATCGAATTCGTTTCGCTGAATGCACTGAGAAAAAAGAATTCGAGTGTTACGAAACTGAATTTTTAGGGAAAACTACAAAAACATAACAATAAAGTGTTAAGGAAAGAAACACATTAGAGACTTTCCTTGACTTATGACTATACAAATATTTTGGTATTCAGTCATCTTAAGAGTCTATTTTTTACATTTTTAAGACATTTCTCTCCGTGTAGGATGAAAGTGTGGGCCTTCGCGTATGTTAGTGCAATTCGAGTTCCATTTAGAGTGCGATCGATGACGATGACAGGCAGGATGCAATGAGAGTGGACTGCCAAGGATTTTAATCAGCTGTTCTCGCTCCCGATGAAGTTCGATTGAAAATGATCAGATACAGGGACCTGACAGTGGCCGTATTAGGCAAGTGCTACTATTTATTTTTAAATATTGTACAAATATGTATTCAAATAGTAGAATAACCAAACTTTCTCTTTAATTTTGATAATTTTTTTGAATACTTTTGGCTTAAGTTTGTACTACTTCTTAGAGCTCCAATAACCCACTGTTACTTAGTATCTTAGCCCCCACAAAGGATTATCCCCAACGCTGGCCATCGTCTTTAACTGTTTCGCCTTTGGTTTGGCACACAAACCCTTCTAGCCACAGATTGTTTGTCCACATTGCATTTGCCGCTAAATTGTTTGTGTTCTGCGTGTGCATCCCACTCGCTCTATCATTCATGCCCAACCTCATCCCATCTCTCTAGGTCTTCTCCGTTTCCTCCCTTGGCCTGCCATCCCTTTTACTCCTCTGATTTCGGGGAACCCCCCACCGTTGCCATCGATGTGCGTGCAATGCCATTAACAATACGCCCAATGCCAAAAACGGGCAAACGCGCCAAATCCATTGTTATTTCGGTGGTCGATTGTTGTTCTTCCGGCTTGCGTGAGCTTACTGTGGCCCCAGCCACGCCCTCCCTGCGAGCTCCAACTGCCCACCCGCTGTGCAAATTGTGCAAACAAACAGCGGATGTTACTGCGGCAGAGAGCGGGAGAGAGGGATTGGCTCTGAAAGGATGCTCCTCATCACACTTGAAAAAAAGTGTATGAGTGAAGTGAGGAAATTTATTTGAAGGGAAAATCTAGGGAAAACGGGTTGTAAATCTTAGGTTCAGGAGATCAGGAGGCAATAAAATATTTATGACAAAGAGCCTTATATAATCTTCTATCATTTTAAAATAAATAAATAACAAACAAGACAAAATATTTCAATTAATATTAAAAATTTTTATTTTCTAATTTTGATTGTTTTTAAATCCAGAAATTCTTTTTTTTTTTCTTTCTGTATGCTAAACTTGTGCCACAAAATCGCTTCCATTTTGGTATCCCCCCCTCGCCACTCTGGCTATCCCAGTTGCAGGATAATTTAGCGGGCTGTGGGCGTCGTGGGCCTGGGTTTTGTTTTTTCAGCTCGGTTTGTTCTCAACTGCAATAATCTTATTAGCAGTTTGTTGTTCGAACCTAATCAATTACCAACGTAATTACAAACTTTGCTAATCTGCCTCGGTTTCCCCAGCGACGGCGCTTCTTCTCCCCCTACCAACCCCAATATGGTCCATGTTCGTGTCCGGATTCCTGTCCGTGTTCATGTTCATGTCTAGATTGGAACACATCCTGCACACACACACATGTCCTCCCAATCTCACAGGCGGCTCGTGGATGGGACTACAAGCTTCGCTGATGTGGCTCAAATTTAGTGGCCTAAATAGCGATTTGGCCAGTGGAGCATGACAAAAGATCTCATCAAACGCTCGCGAATTGTTAACCAGATGGGATGTGCGGCCGAGGCAAAGGATGGGATTTCGATTAAGCGTTAGTTGAGAGGTTGTCAGGGAAATGAGGTCTTGGTGAGCAGGAATAGTGCTCAAGGATCTTAGGGTTGAGCGAGGAAAATGTCTATAAATACAACACCTTTACCTTGAAGTTGTTTACGATTTATTTAGTTAATGGAAAGGTAAAATACCTACCTATTAGTGGTGAGACTCTCCTGCTCGAGTCTCCCATTAGAGCTAGGCTCCGTTTTGGTCCACACCCTCTGTTTTCTGGTTGTGTCTGTGCCTCACTTAGTACCATCTCGAATTGTTTAAAAAACTAAGGATAGCTCTTAAAAACTTTACTATTTTCACCAGGCCTCAAATTTCCGATTTTCCAAGAAGATTTCCTTGAATAGTCATCAGTTGCCGTGATCAATGGGTTGCTTATCCCAAGCGAACAATCAATTTCCTACCTTACTATTGTTGCAACGCTTTTCTTTCTCAAAGATTCGCCGGCCAGAAAGAAATGCCAAAAAGTTTTTGGCTTAATCAAATGTCAAAATATTTGAATATGCCAAGACACGAAATTATTGCCGTGTAAGCGCCGACGTAGCCTTCCTCCTGTACGGTTGGCATTTGCTTGGAGAAAACTTTGCCACGCATGATTTAAATGGGAATAAATCTTGCGTTAAGACTTGACTTGGATTTTGATTATGCAACCCGCCTGAAAGGGAGTGAGTGAGTTGGAGAAACTGGGAACCGGAACGAACTTGCTGCGTCACGTAGTTGGTAAATTTGTTTACACGTCCTCCTGCTCCCCTTTCCAAGGCCTTAGAATCAGGATCTCGCCTGGCTCCAGCACCCTCGAGCTGTCGCCTCTGCCCTCTACCTCCACAATTGGCATAAAGTTTCTCATATGCAAATCGCAAGTTTAGCAAAATATTTCGTTTATTGTTGAAGTTTTCCTTTAGTTACTACAACTCTCGCTCTCTCTCTCGCAGTCGTCAACATTTTGTACGTCTTTCGTTGGTTTATTTTTTCCCCAAAGTCGCCTCTTGGCTGAAAGTTTTTCATCGCAAAGTTTTCTCTGGCTCAAGACATTTTTTGATAAATTATCCAGCGTCAGTTTGTGTAACTTATTTCCAGTAAAAATGCGTTCTTTTTTATTATTTCCGTTTTTTTTTTTATAAAAATCATGACACCTTTTATTGATTTACTTATTCTGTTTGAATGCTGCTGATGTGTGTGTGTGTTGTGTGTGTTTGGGGGTGTGTGTTGCTCATACAAACACGTTTTACTTAAAGTATACATATAATCCATTCACTTAACTGCGTTTTATCACTAGAATTACGTTTAGCATCAGCAAATACATACTTCTGCGCTTTTCCAAACTTATTTTATCGAATTGCCTACCAATTTCCATTATCGGGTAGTGAAGAAAGCTTACAATCTAGTCAGAACACACAGCCTTGCTTTGTTTCTCTAAAAAATTACACTTACGAGGCTAACTTTTATAATTACACAGTTAATTACACACAGAACATTGATTCATATCGTTGAGCTTAGGATCTAAGAAGAATGTTTTTTGTCTGCGTTGAAATTGTTTAATTTAAAGCCACATCCAGATAGTTTAAAATGCACACAGCTTCGCCCGAAAACAGAAACCCAGGATGAAAATGAAAATAATTTGGCTAAACCTCATCTCTGATTTGTCAATGCTTTTATTCAGCTACAACATAACGTTTTTAATCTGACCAGAAACCAGAAATAAAATTATATTATTTCGATCTTTTATTTATAAATTTACTTTGTTAAAAATAGCGCGCTTTACAAGCTTAAAAAACGGATTTTCTTGGCTATCGTACAACATTTTAGAATACAGATTTTTTACAGAGCGTCCGATTTAGTTTGTTGTTAAAATGTACAGTTCTTGAAAATTTGTATGCGACAGCAAATGAATAGGTGTTTTGTTTTGTTTGTTTTTTTATTCTCCAGATGCTCGATACTTAGCGCACGATATATTTACAAGTTTCCGGGACCTAAGCATACAACTGGAACGAGATGGAATCTGTTTTGTATTAAATATGTTTAATATTTAAGAATTTTACATACCTTTCAGCTGGCGGCCTGCCACAACTATCACTTGCCTCCTCCAAAATATGAAAAATAAATGGTCAACAAGGCGTCTATTGAGTAAATAGAAAAGCTGTTTCAATTAATATATAAAAGTTAATCTTAGGAAGGCAGTGTGTTTCCTCTGAAATTAAGTAAATAAGAAAACTACTAAGAAAATAAAGATAAACAAAGATTTAAACACACAGATTATGTATATTTGTTGTGCATTTGAAACAGAGAACAAAACTTTATTGAGATATGTTTTATGTAGTTCAATGAGTTGTTTACATATGTGTTGTGGATGTGTGTATTGTGAGTTTTTACATAAACAAAGTATGCTACATTATGTGCACTCATCTACTTCAAAGATGTGACACGACATAAAGCCAAAGAAACTAACTAAAACAATAAGTTTACAGGGTATAATTCGTATATGTATAAATTTATAATACCAGATTTGTGTAATTTTGCAAGTGAAAACTGAAAAAGTAAAATAAACTCCATGAATAACAAATTGTTCCTCTTTGTTTTTGATTTCATTTGGATTGTGTGTATTGTCTTTTTATGCAAAGATCTTTACAAATCGCATAATTATAATAATTAATAATAATAAGGATGTTGGTGTTTTGTGTGTGTGTTGTGTGGGTAACAGAAACATTTCTTTTTTTTTTTTCTCAGTACATATAAAAAATGTGAGTTAGTTGGGATAATTAACAAATCAGATAACTAAAAACTAATAAATGTGGGTATATATAGTATTTATAGAGAGATAATCCATTGAACAAAACGAGTAACTTGTAACTAGATCTAGGATATATATTTCATATATATATATATATTTTTATAGTAAGAACTTCATTGTGACTTGCAACATGAGAGATGAACAAATCAAACAGAGAAAGAGTGCTTATAAAATTATCAGATATATCAAAAACTTATAAACTAACACTCTGAACAGATCTTGTTTTTTTTCTTCCTTTTTATTGTTTAGTTTCGTGTGTGTGTGTCATGAATATGTATACAAAATATGTAATAAAAAAAGGCGATGGTTCAACCAACTCGTACGATAGTTTAAAAATAAGAAAACAAGTCGTAAAAGAAGGTCTTAAGGGAACTTCAACAGAAAGTTAACTAATCTACGGTCTAACTAACAAGTGTATTCTTTGTTTCTTTTTTTTTTTTTTTTTTTTTTTCTTTTTATGTTTTTTTTTTTTGTATTTTTTGTTGTTTGTTTTAATTCAACATATAACGTGCTAAATCATAAGTGACACTGTCTCATTTTGGCACAAATTTTGTTTCATGTCTTTAGCTTTTTTTTTTTTTTTTTTGTATTTTCAAGATACGTACAACGTTGGCATTTGCATCGGGTTACTCTCTTGCAACGCGCGCGCGCTCTACACGGCAACTCTTCATTCATTGACTACTCCATATTTCACAAATCTCAGTATTCTCTACTCGGTCTCCCCGGCAATCCGGATGACCCGTCGATCTTGGTGGGAGGGAGGCCTCCTTGGGAGTCCGCTAGCCGGCTAGTACGGCTTCGAGTCTTTAGGCTTCTTCAGCTGCACCTTCAGGCGCTTGGTGCCCACCTGGAAGCCGTTCATCGCCTTGATGGCCACCTGGGCCGCTTCTGGATTATCAAAGGACACGAAGCCAAAGCACTTGGACAGGCTCGTCTGCTTGTCAATAAACACCTTGGCCGAGATCACATTGCCGAAAGGCAGGAAGGTTGAGGCCAGATCCGTGTCGGTGAACTCCTGCGGCAGATGGTAAATGAATAAGTTGCAGCCCTCGGGTCCTGAAAAGAAGGAAAGGAAATTATTAATTTAAAAATATTAAATATATTACTAAATAATTTTAAAGCCTTAAGTTAAAAATAACTTAAGAATAAAGACTAAACTTTTAGATATTTCCCTGTAATTAGTTGGACGTGGCCTTAGTAGTTTCTCTTGTTTCTTCTAGTTCTAATGCTGCTGCTGCTGCTGCTACCTGCTGCATTACAGTCTCACCTGGCAACAGGCAATTAATTAAGCAGTGCCACCCAGTCATTTACACCCACAAAACCGCAAAACGGAGACACTGAAAGTTGAGCGGACAAAGCTACAAATTTTACGGGCGAACAGGGAGAAATCCTGGCCAGCAGCAAGCATCAGCATCTGATTGCCAAAACGGAAACGGAAATGATGCGCTCGACTAACGCGTTGCTGCCTGCAGTTACCTCTCCCACTCTCTCGCTGGGTGTGACACTTTGTTTAGCTGCACGTGCCGACAACGACTGCTGGCATCGCCTCGCCATCATTATCTTTCGCAGCATTATCATTATCACCATCGGGTTTCGCGACATTATCATCACAGTGGCGCCGCCGTCTCTTTCGCTATTCCCACTCTTTCCCTGTTACCCATCTCTGTCAGACGCACATTAACGCGGCTCACGCCTCGTGCTGCGGTTGCACTTTTCGTGCAAATTACTGTCAACGTCACTGGCAATGAGGAGTCAGCAGATGAGTAGTCAGCAGTCGGCAGTCAGCATTCAGCAATATTACAAGCCCACCAGCAGCCAGAGATACACTGAGAGAAAAGGTTGGAAAATCTCTTTTCTCGAAGTGATTCTGCTTAAGAATTTGTTATAAAATAAGGCTCATAGACTCAAGCAAAAGCTAAGGCTAAAATTAATTAATATTTGTGATTTGAACTATTATTTTAAACATATTTTTTCTTGTGTACATCAAGAATGAAAAGGGTGGGTGAGGGGATGGTAGAAAGGACACAGACAAAGCGAGAGAGCGGGCGAAAGCTGCGTACGTCAGCAGTCGCGTTTTCACTTTCGTGATGCTTTTTAATGACAGCTAAACGCTTCGAATGGCAGCTGGCATTTAGCGGTTTTCAATATTATTAAACCAAAAGACACAAACCAATCCAAAAAAGGAAACAGAAACAATGAAAGTGAAGATATTTACTAGAAAATAAGTTATAAAAATATTACTTATAATTTAAGTTAAGGCAAAAAGCGTATGCTCTCAACTTTAATTTCTGAACTGAACTTATGCTCTACAGTGTTCTGATTTTCAATTAAGATTCACAGGGACAATAATTACAATGCTTTGCCAGGACATTCACACACACACACTCATAATTTACACACACATTGTAATAGGATAGGCTTGTAGTGTTGCTCGGAGAACAGCAATGAACCCCAATTCCCATAGGCAACTCCATCATCGTTTGCCAGAAGCACTGCTATTGATCACCTTGATATATGACTGGGCTAGCACCACTTCCTCCATAGGCCCTGCAATCCCCGTAGGTTCTACCCACAGGTTCTACCCACTCCACAAGCCAACTGAGACCCCCGAGGTAAACTGACTGCTGACAGATTGCCCGACGCTGATGCGATTACAGAATGAAGCCAAATTGAATGGCGAAGAAAGCTGCTCCTCCGGAGGCATACCTCCGTCATCATCGTCCTCCTTCCCTCCTCTTCCTTTGAAACGGCCGCCGAAGGCAGTCACAAGCCGTTGATGCTGCTAGGATTTTCATATTAATTGACTCAAGGCTCGTCGTGATACTGATACTATTTGTGCCGCTGCTGGTGCTCCTGCAGCACTTGTTGCTTTGTAATTTTGAACACCTATCAATTAATTTAGGCTCCAGCGAGTGGAGAGTGAAAAAGTCCAATTAAAAATGCTTGAAGCTATTGAATTACGCGACTAACAAGCGACACGTGCGGCACAACACACCACCATATAATTAAATGAAAGAATAGATGTGAAGAAGCAAAAACGGTGGGTGTCAATACCAAGGCAACAAATTAAGGCAACAATTTGTGTGGCACTTGAAAAGGTTTTCTGGTAATAATTCAAGAAGGAAGAAAAGAAAGAAAAGTCTCATCAGCAGAAAATTAAACATTTAAAGCTCAAGTAAACCTTTAAGTATCTGTAGGATTGATAAATCTACTCTTTACTTTTATAGATTCTGGTTTACTTTTCCCCTTTTTTCAAACCTATTTACATATATTCAAAAATTTATTTGCAAAAATAAATCCATCTCTAGTCTAATCTCACTATACTTTCTATAAATTCAGTTAGCTGTCAACCGCAAAATGTTTTCCACACATTTTGGTAGCCAGAAAAAGTGTTAACTTCTTGGAATCCGCAAAGGATTGCCCTTCCGCCAGAGCCTCGCACATACAAATAAACTTCCTGTTTTGTTTTTCACAACTCGCAGGGGTTCTGTTTTTTTTATGTTGCTCTACTGGAATTTTTCAGTGTGCGAAAAACGATTTCCTATATTGCATTTTCCTCTTCCGTCGACCAAAAGATGCGCCATCCGCCTTGGCATTGCCATGTCCTGTGTCCTGCCCCGTTTGCCATCGATGGCAGGATGGCAGGAGAGAGATGAATGCAGATGCACATTCCCTGCCCCTTTCGCCGTTGGGGGTTAGCGTTTTTTCTTGGCTGTCGCGCTCATCCGACCGAGCTGGGGAAAACAGGGGAAAGTCATCCGCTATTTTCCTATTCCTCTCAAGGGCACACGACCAAGGCGGAAGGAAGCCAAATGGAATCTATGGCACATAAGCTACAGTTCCAGTTCTGCCTCGACATATATCTGGTTCTATTTTATTGATTTTAATGCGACTTACTACGAAAGTTGTAGTGGAAAAAATGGGAAATAAATATTTATAGCAAGAAATATTTATTATTGAATTGGAAGTTTAAAAAAAAATTAATAGGAATTATTTAAAATAATTATTTTTCTTATTCAAAATTCAGAAGCTTTGCCGACTTGGTGTATTTTTTTTCCAAGTGTCATACGTTGCCCTTTTCCATAATCACTCGCTTGCAAGCGGATTGCAACTCGTCGGCTCCGCATTCACAATTGCGCCCACTCCCCGGAGCATAAGTCGCAAATCTTTCGACTTCCTCCGCTGTCTCTGGACTCCCGGCAGTATCTCCTCACAGTAGCAGTAATTCTCCTCCTCCGCCTCATCCTTTCTGCAGCCACACACACACACATATTTGGTTATTTTATATTCCAACTTCCGGCTTATGCACATGACTTTAATCCGGCTGCACAGCCGGAAGGAGAAGCGACCGCTGCCGCCTTAGGGTCACCCAACCGATTCTGAAAGCGGGGAATTCCCCGGATCGTCTGTCACTGTCATATTTGCCCGCCTTCCTTCCGTCCGTCCCTTTCTTTGGTCGGAGGATGGTTCCTCTTGTGCTCCTACAGCTCCTTTAAAGCGTTATATTTACTGCAGATACTAGTTCTAGGGCCGCTTCTCATTTATTTCTTATTTTTCCCGAGATTTTTGTCATATTATTATATTTATTTTTATTTTGCTCTGCTTTTGCTTCTATTTCCTGCTTAATTTCGTGCCTGTCGTCTGGTCCTGTCTACATGCTTATAAGTTGTTTCCTGCTCTCACCCGCCTTTATGGCTCTGCTTCGTATCCCCCACTATCCTCTTTTCTATCTCCGAGATGTTGTGCGGCTTGTCGTCATTTGATAAATTTCACATGTTGAGAATTTATCAGCCCTACAGTGGCATTGTGTTGCTGCAGTTTTTTGCAGCCCTTTCTTCCTACACAGATTGCATAAATCCGGAATTTTTAGGATTGTCTCTAGATTTTTTTTCCCTTTTCGAAATGAGAGTTCGATGGGATTTTCGCATCAAGGAAAGTTAGAAGAGGAAAGAGAAAAGGCAAGAGGAAACCCAGTTAAGCTTTTACAGAACTGGATAATAGGCTTGATGTTCATTAAAGTTAAAGTAAATCAAATATTGAGAATAAAATTCGTATAAGAATGGAATTAAATTAGTTTGAAATAGTTAAAACTTTAGAAAATATATAAAATATATCATTATAAAATTTATATAAAACTCCAAAGGTTTTAAACGCCACCCAATCACAGTCAATTATCCATTACCGACCTCCCCCTCTGCGTGTCGTAATCTTTCCTTATCTCATCCCAATAATTACATAGAGCTTAGCTTTTCCCTCCCGTCTTTTCTCAGCTTTTCTTCGGGTCAACTTCCATTTGAGCAAGTCTAAATCATCTATGATAGTTTTTCACAATCCACCCAAGCGAGGCGAAACATGGCAGCTCACATTTCGCATTTCGGCTAGCAAGAGCAATTTGTTGTGCTTCCACCCAGACACAGTACCCCCCGCAATCCTGGGAACCTAGATCAGGCTTGCCCCGCCTCCTCGATAGTTGTTGGTTGTTGCAGTTGGTCAGGAGGGGATTTTCGGCGACGTCATGAGTCAGCAGAGCAAACAAGGAGTCGCACAAAAGGATAACGAAGCCAGTAGATGTGAAGACGAAGGGCGAGCTGGAGCGAGTCACTCAACTGCAAAAATATATCTCACTATATGGTGTGCATAAAATGCAGAGAGAGAAATATTAAAGACTAATTTAGATATATTTATTTTAAATATCTTTGTATTTAAGTACAATATTTTTAAGATTTTAATGCATAAATGCTGAATCTTTACAAACACTTCAAAACTCTGGCTACACTTTTTTCCCTGTGCACATACTCACATCCACTCAAAGGATGTTTGCTTATGTAACCGGAAATATAGCAAAAAGTGCAATGCCAAAACATTTTCCGTTGCATTTTCACCCCCCTTTTCCCATCGTTTTTTTCTTCCTCCTCCACCCCCAAAAACATTTCGAATATCTCCTGCTGCAACTTTAATGTTATGTGTGCCAAAGTACACGAACATATAGGGAGAAATGCTCAGTTGCCATATTTCCCGATATCGACAGCGACGTCTGACTAATGGAATTGTGTGTCAAGTGTGTGTAATATTTACACTGTGTCGGGAGCTGATAAAAATTTAAGCCCCCCACCAAAATGCTCCTCATAAATTCTCCTTAGCAAGTGCTAGATGTGGAGCTGGGGGAGCATGGAGTGCTTGGAAGACAGGAGTGAAATGTACAGGATGATTGATCTTATTGATTTTTGCTACATCTCCACCGGGAATTTGCTTCTTGGCTTGTGCTTATGGCATTGAAGGATTTGTGTCAGCAGAGGACATTCGATTGCGGATTAGAGGGGCACACATCCTGGCAAAAGGAGATTGAAATTCTTGAGGGATTTTGATTTGTTGAGGCTTGTTGGGGGTGTAAGATCTGCTTAAATCATATTTCTAGAGTTATGAAAATGTCCAACTGACGTTCTCTCTCTGCTCTGCTCTCATTTCTCATCCCAGCAACTGCATAACATTTGATAGATGATTTTTCATATAAAATAAAAGGCCGCAGGATAATATTAAAAGCAACGAGTACAATTGCAGAACTAAAACTAAGTAGATTAGACAGGCATCCACACAAAATGTCCATGACAAGTGGGATTCGGAAAAGTTGCGCGAAAGGCGGGGCTGGGAAATGGGAGGACATAATGCGGGAGCAACGAACAGAGTAAACTGGGTGGGAGACAACAAAAAAAGGACGAAAAAATAACCGTATCACCAACGAACGAGTGACGCTGACAGCAATGAGCGGGTTAATGCATGTGATGTTGCATCAGCAGCAGAAACAAATACAATTGCAGATGTGGCAGTAAGTAAGGGTACTATCAAAGGTTGAGATACACAAAAGTATAAAATATCAGAATTATATATATTTTAAAAATTTAAAAGGTTCACTCTTTTGTTTTCAACAGGTTAAAAAATTAAACAAATTTATAAAAACAATTGAATAAGTAAATCAATCACATTAATGTCATAAAATGTGAATTATATCCTGTTTTCTTATGTTTCTTCTTTTTAATATTTATTTAAACGTTATACCAATTAAACCTCTATAGCTTAGGGTATTCAAAAGGCCATCTTTATGCAATGGTTTAGAGAATAGCGGCAAGGATAAAGCACAGAGCAAACGATTTGGTATTGGAGTGACACAACCGCAGCAGCATTCATTCGGGCATTTTGCTGCATTTATCAAAATGTCAGGCATTTAGACATTTCTATTCCTACCGTGTGCGTGTAGTTACATTTTCCCCCGCCATTGCGCTTTTCAAAAACCTTTCTGATTGCCCCCGCAAATGCTTATGTAACGCGAAAAAATTCTGGAATACATTTGTAACACCAAATTTTAATTAAAACTGAAAATTTTAGTTTCTTTTTATACTTTTCTACTACCTTAATTATTTTTAAAATTACGTATACGACTGGTTGACATTTTTAATGAAGTAAAAAATATATTATAATGGAATTTAAAGCTTCTTTAATTAAAAAGAAAAACCATTAATTAATTATTGATCTTTTATTTATTTAAACTTTTTTATCAGCTCAATTATCTGTCAAATTACGTATACGACCTGTAGACATTGCCTTTTAAATGTCCGCCGATAATTACATATTATGATAAAAGTAAAAGCTTTTAAAATAATATACATTATACTACTTTAAATATTAAACTTTGTCAGGTCTGATTTTTACTTAAAACGTATAATCTTAAGTTTTAAAAATATTTTTTAAGTGTATTTTTATTATGGTTACTCACCTTCAATCTGCTTGCCCGCAGCTGCGGCAGCCGCGGCACTAAGGGCAACGCTGGCCAGCGGTGAGGTGGACAATGCACTGGCGCTGCCGAATTGCGGCAAACCAGCGGCCGTTGACATATATGCCGATGCCAATGGATTCGGATCAGACCCTATATAGATGCCAGAGAGTGAGGGAGATAAAAGAGGGGATAGTTAGTAATGTAAATTACATATTTTACGTCTGGTAAAATTATATAAAAGAAAAAATTTTTCCAGGAAAAGATAAAGAAGAGAATAATGTCAAATTAGGTAAAAAATAAATTATATTTAGGTTAGGTTAGCCTAATTACAATAAATTCAGAGAGAAAAAATATTTTGGAAAAATCTGAAACTCAAATATTTTCTAGTTTTTTTGTCAATTTATTCCACCATTATTTCCCCCAAACCATGCAACTATCCCACAATGATTGTACCTCCTCCTATTTCACTGTATAATTATTATTTAGTTGGTTTCGTTTCGTATCGTCAGACGTAATTAATCATCGAATTTTGTGCACTGCGACGTGGGGCGACATTTGATTATTTTGCCAAGCTCACAGAAACAACAACAACAAAAGCAGCTACAGTGGCGGCGAATCTAAAATTAATTTGTCTCTGTAGAAATATCTGTATGTGTGTGTGTGTGTTGGTTGTGTTCTGGTTTCGGGTTTTGTGTAATTTGACGCCTGTTGTTTGTTATTTAGTTGTTTTGCGTGTTTCGCCATTGGCCGTCATGCAATGCAATTTTGTGGTTAGCAATCCGGCCCCTGACCGCCACTTTGGCAGCCCCTCCTCCCTCCTCCCATCCCTTTTGTCGTCCATGATCGCCGTTATTAATGAGTTTTGCAAACCTTTGTGTGTATGCGAGTGTGTGTAGTGTGTACGAAATTACAGAAAATGTGATAGAAGCGATAGCTAGACTCCCCTTGGTTTCAATAAGCAAAATTAAGCTAATAAAAATATATCGCAGAATTCCTACTTGGGAATTTTAACACAAATTATACCCAAGTTTAATTTCACCGACAAATTATTATTTCTGTGAAGTACAACATTTTAGATTACTCCAATTTAGTTTATGAACATTAATTCAGCTCGTTAGGCTGTCAAAAAAATCACCATTTCAACAGACAATGTCTCGAAAACTTTACCTTATTTAACAGAATGAAAAATATATATGAAAAATTCTAAATAAAATTCATGTGTAAATATGACAGAAGCGTGTAGGCGAAAACTTTTGCACATATTTGCATCGAAAATTTGTTTTAATTGTTGTTCAAAGTTTTTGCAAAGAAAGACAGCAAGAAGTCAGCAAGTGGAAAGAGTGGAACGAGTGGGCCAATTCTGCAATACACACACTCATCAGGCTGCTAGAAACAAGACCCGGCTAACTAAGTTGGCCAATAATAATCCACATGAGTGCACCGGCCAGTAAAAACAGCAAACAATGGCAAATTGAAGAAAGAAGAAAGTCGAAAACATTGCCTAAAACTATTTCTGGTCCGGATGCTGTCTGTTTTTTGTATCTGCTACAAGTTTTTAGTTTACAGTTGAAAATTTGTTCGTCGAGTTCAAGTACAAAATTTTACAATTTCCCTTCTACTTCTCTTCCTCCTCCTCCGTCTTATTTGCCATTTGCAGGCAAAAGACTTTTTCTTCCCACTTTGTGTTATTGTTGCTTTTGTTGATTTTGAAGTGCAAAAAGCGAAAAAGTGTATAAACAAAAGTAATGGAGAGCTGGCCAGAAAAGGAAAACAAAATGAGATGAAAGGAATGGCTAAACAAAAAAGGAACGAGTTGAAAACGTGTTGAAACCCTAAATCAGTTTGAGGAGCGCCTTGTGAAGGCGGAGGAGAAGCTGAGAAGAAGGGGGCGTGGCCCGAGGTTGGTAATATAAACTACATAGTTTACTGCACTTGAACAAAACTTTGATTAAGATTTTCGTTTGTTGCTCTTGGCTGGCCTGGAGATCCTAGAAGAGTCTTTGGCTTTTTGTTTTCGGTTGCTACTTACAGCTCTAAGAAAATATAAATAAAAAAAAGGTTGAAAACTTTTTGAATTGGATGCACTTGAGCTTCGGTGAAGAGTGTTTGCGGAATATCACAAGATAGAGGCTAATCTGGTTAAAAGAAAAATCACTATTGTAGATGATTTTCATATTTCAGATTTATTATTTAATTAGGAAATCTCTCCCTTGCAATCATCATTCCCCCTTTTCTTCAATATGCTAATTGCTTCCTCTTCATTTTTTCCATCTGCTTCAAGTCTAATCTAAAACGAATTCCCAGCATTACATCCACATCCTGCTATTGTTATCCTCTCGCCAATTTGTTCATATCTCCTGCATTGTTCCTAGCCCTAGTCTCCCTGCAATTAGTTTTTTTCTTTCATTTCCCACTGCTGCTCCTGACTGCCTTTTCTCATACTTTCAATACGTTTTCCATAAACAATTTTCGGGGGAGCGAAGAACAAACAAAGCGGGACCAAAGTCGAGAGCTCAATTTGTTTGTCCATTTTATTTGTGGCAGGCAAAAGCCAAAAACAACACCAACAAGGGCAAAAAGTTTTGTTACTCGTGGCAACTTGAAAAGCGATTTTGTAGTTTAGTTTATGTATCCGAGAGAGCTAAGCAAAGAAAAAAAAAGGAATACCAAACGGGAAGTTGTTTTCCTCTCTATGGAAACTGTGAAGAAAATTGGAGGGGGAAAATTGAGGAAGAAGGCTACAGGATATAAACTCGACTGTCATTACACTCAACTTTTTATAAACGGTTGTTACAGGAACTTCAAGATATATATATTTATAGGAATTTATCAATTTTTTGGTATTATAATTAAGCAGTCACATTTTCTCTTTCCAAAATCCAGGAAATCCCATATACCCTTACACCCCTGGATACGAAAAAAGAAAGGGAGAAACTACCCAGAGATAGGCGCAACCTTGCTGTCCTCGCTGTCAGCTGCACTTTGAACTGAATTTCTTTTTCAATTCAGAGCAAAAGGAAACAGCAAACAGAGGACATCTCCTTGGAGTCCGAATTGCCGGACTCCATCTGCTCCCTCTCCCAGGGCAAGGAATTTTTAATATTTCATTAAATGAAGTGCCCGGAAATCGTTCAAGTGGCACACGATGAGCACGCACAAGTGCACAAGGGCCAAAACTCACGAAAATCCCCACAAGATAAGCTCGGACCGAAAGAGAAAGCCATGTAGAGGAGGAGGTGGATGAGAAGGATGGAGACACTGGAAAAATCCGCTTAATTTTTGGCATTTTTCTGGTTAAGTCAGCCGCAGATTTTTCGACTTACTTGGCCTTGGCTTTTCTTCGCCTACTTCTCGGTAAGATTCTCTTGAAATGAACTTGCTAAGAAAATATTTAAGTAGAGTCAAGTGCAGGAAAAGGGGGGAAACAAGTGCGGTCAGCAATGTTCACAGATAGGCAATGACATTTCCTTTGGGCATGTTTTCTTATTTTTTTCACAAGTATTTTCCTTGTGTTTTCTGTCTTGGCCAAGTTTAAGTGGAATTTCTTAGCTGCTTTTGATTTCTTAGAAAAAAAAAGAGGAACAAGGGATTTATTATTTTAGCATCCAAGACAGAATTTTCAGATTAAGATTAAGTTGTTATATTATTCCTTGAATTAAAAAAAACTACAAAATAATGTAAAAGTAATATACCCACTTTTAGGTTTATTTTAGGTATTTATTTTCATTAATCATAATTGAAATTATTTTATTCGCGCTTCCCTTTCAACTTCCAACTGAGAAATAAAAACCGTGAAATGAACAGAAAACATTGCCGTTTCCTTGCAACTTAAAAGTCAATGGAACCATCAAAAAGGGAGTGAGAAGATCCCTTTTTCGTCCTCGTTCTATAATATCCCCCTATATAACCTCTGGTGGAACCCCTACTACTTCTCCAGAGACTGCCTGGTGCTGCTGCAATAAGTTCCATGTTGTTAATTTCGCAAGAGAGTGTAACTTGTAATTTTGTATGTTGTACGGTATCCTCTTCTCCGGAGAATGACTCCCTTTTCCTGTTCAGTCCCCTCTCCTTTCCATCGCCAGCTTTACGGCCATCAACTCTCTCCGGGCTGGTGACGTAAAGCGAGCGACGTAAAACAAGCGCGTTACGGTGCACGTGAACGTTACGTCGAATGCTTCGTTGACTTTAACTATCAAACTTAATAACACACACACACATTTCTTTATGAGGAAATGTGAACGCACAGCAGGTGAAAGGAAATGTAACTTTCACTACAAACTCAAGGTTACTTTAAAATTTACGGAATTTGAAATGTAATATTTGTTTATTAATATAAAAAATAAAATAAGTGTATAAAAGTATAAATATTCCTTTCAAAAATATCACTGTCATATATTTCTCACCTTTTTTCTTGGCCGCAGGCTTCTTTCTCAAGAGGCCTGCTTTCAATCCAAAATTATTTACATAAATTACGGTAAGCATTGTTCAAATATAGAATGTACAACAAAATGCTGGTTAGTATATTTGCCGAAAAGGATAAATTTGTTCAGTTAATTAGAATAGAACGGCGGCGCTGACGTCAATCCCTTTATCCCCCAACGTTGAAGAGGAAATTCTTATTTGGCTATTTTAAGTCGATTTCCTTCGAGTTTCCTCCCCAATGAAGATTGACAAGGCCATGATTGTAATTTGTTTCGAAAAACAGTGGGCAGTGGCAGAAGGGAGGGTGGTTTTTTGTTGGTGGGATAAGCAGGAGGAGCAGGAGCGTCCACTAAATTAAGCTAATTGGGCACTTTGAATGTCAGATGATGACACATTTGTTGGCAACGTAGAAGCCGAAACGAGAATAGCAAAGCAATTTCGGTGAAGGTTATTGGAGTGGAAAGTTTTCATCAATTATAGATGAACGAAATTACGAAAGTAAAATTATATTAATGTGGAGGATATCCATTTTCAAGGAGAGTTTATTTAATTTTAATTAAAAGTTAAACTTTTACTTCTAATTACATTAATGCAATAAATAAATTGAAGCTTTTCAAGTTCAGGAAACTAATTTTCAGTCTTTTAAAAAATATTTTCTCACCGTCAAATTGTTTTCTTACTGCCCCAATAACCATTTGCCACTCATTAAAGGCCATTACCAGGACAACAACCAACATGTTTGAGTGCCCGCAAGATAATTACAAATCGATAAAGGAAAAACTAAGAAAACCAAAACGAAAAAAAACCGAGAAAACTGTGGAAGAAGGAAAGCCAACAGCAACAGGCGGCTGGCTACGAAACCAAGAGTGGGTGGAACCATCTCCCCTCCTGTGACGCACAAGGACGAGACTACTTCAATACGGAAATGGGGAGAAATTAGATAATTAGCTGAGGCAAAACTTATGGCTAGGATAAGACGGTAGCAGCACACATCCCATGTTGAATTATTAACTAAGAGGTCCTATTTTTCCCCGTAAACTAAAGGCGGATTACTTACAAAGCAATGCGGCGGTGTTTGTTAGCTGAGCACTGCCCGGAGATGTGGCAGCGGCTGCTGCGGCGGCGGCGTTTGTGAGACTTGGCTGCGTCATTGCAGCGATGGCGGCCAGATTTTGAACGGTCATCGGAGTTAGTAGCCCGGCGGCAGCCGCGGCACTTGTATCCGTGGCCGAGCTGCTCTGCTGGGCGGCTCCTAGACCAGTAAGGGCTTTAAATGGAAAATAATAAATAATATAAAACTCAAAAAATATAATAAATTCCATTCCCCTTACCTTGCAGCAACTGTTGCTGCAGTCCCACGGCCTGCAATTGCTGCAAAAGTTGAATGGATGCCGGGGTAATGGCATCCGCGCCCAAGACTGGTGAAGCCTGCTGCGGGGGATTGGGCAGAATCGGTGTGGAAACGGTGGTGGCGGTTTGGCCCAACGGTATGTTAATATTGCTGGCCAGATTCCACAGATTGGCCTGAATCTGCTGGATCTTCTTTTGCTCCTTCTCCTTCTGGGTGTCGGCAAACTTGACAACCAGCGGCGACGTGCAGCCCTCCATGATCTTGTTCTGGCTGAGAGTCTGCAGGGATGAGGTAATCTTTGAATACATTTTTTTTCATTATGGGAATTCTGTGCTCCACCGAGTACTCACCACTTTAATGGCCGAAATAGCAGCGTGCTTTGTGGCAAATGTGACGAAGGCACAGCCCTTGCTCTGGCCGTTCTGATCCCGGAGAACGGTGCACTCCTCGATGGCTCCGTGGACTTCAAAAAGCTTACGAACGTCGTTCTCGTTCAGCTTCTTGTTTAGCATTCCCACAAAGAGTTTGCGTTCTGTAAGAAAAGGGAAGATAATGCGTTAGTAATATTTATTGTGTATATAATTTAAGATTAATTATTAAATCTACTTTTGGCTAGCCAAGTCTCCAATAGACTAAGACTCATCTGAGCTTAGCTGGAGACCTTGGCCTTGGTAAGTTAATCGCTGCGTGAAAAAGTTGGCGGAAGCCTCGACCGACCACATCGTCGAGTGTAATCCAATAGCCGCCCCTGGGTTTTGGCATTGAAAAGTGCCAGCCACACTCAAGTGGGTTAGGGCCAGGTTGAAACTGGTCCGGTCTGGCCGGAGCTCTGTGCTCAGCCAGGCTTAGTTAATTCCAGCATTTGCCAATGCTCAATTAATTTTACATAAATTAAAGCTCTCTCGCACCCTGGGATAGCAGTCCGCTCGGCGGTGGACTCTCGATAACTAATTGGCAGGCATTTAACATTTCGCCAAATATTTGCACTTTCCATAGAAAAGGGCTCCAAGTTTCGGGGGTGGAGGGAAAATGGGCAACTAATTTATTTGCACAAGCACGCAAAATGCGCACTGCACAAATTAATTGTTATCGAATGTGCAATTGGCTGAGGATGCGATGTGGTTGTTGTTTTGTGCGGGCGAATCGGGGATCGGTCTGGCTCGGTCGGTTGGGTTTTCTATCTTTTAACTAACCAAATTGCGAATCAATTGGCTTAAATGCATTTAAAGTGCTGGCGATTATTTAAAGCGGATTACAATTTCAGCAACTGGACAAAAATAATAAATAGAGCGAATTTTATTTAAATTTTTGCAAGCTTTTTAACGTTTTAGTTTCAGTTTAAAGATGGTAATACATAAGACTGGTTTTAAATAAATTTAAATAATTCTATTTAAAGCCTAATTTCAATGATTATTGTAAAAATATTTATCAAATCACTCGCAGCATTTCAAGTTTTAAGCTAAACCTATTTCCCTTGATTAAAATTAACTGTTTACAAGTTTAGTGAACCTTATTAACTCTCGGAATTAATAACAAAATCAATATTTGCCTATAAAACTCAACCAAGTACAACCCACAGGAACCAAATTAGTTTTTGCAAATTTTGAACTTCGGTGGTTCCAAAAATTGCTTTGTTATAAATTATTATTTTATCGCTTCAATAAACGGAAAATTTTTACTGAATGCCAATTATGTTTTATAGCCGGCAATTTGCTGGTGAAAATTTATGAAACGCCCACCAACATAGCCACTGCCACAGGACCACACACCACCCCCCGTTGGAAATCTGTTTTTGGAAATCAATTAAAATTATAATTAAGCTGCTTATGGGGTAGAAATTGATTTTTAGTAGCCATTCTGGTCATTGACTTTGCAAATTTCACAGCTCATGCGGAGTATTTAAAATTATTATTATTATTATTATTATTATTAATATTCAGGGAAGTGGGAGTGTCGCTCTTCTCGATGGTCGGTTGTAACCACAAGAAGTGTGGAAATTCAGCTTAATGGCAGTGAATTCTAATGCTTGGGGTTTTTTTCCCCCCATTTCGTTTCTGCCACTTGCCACATTTCGAGGCATCAACGCGTGCTGCAATGCGGCTTTAGCCCACTTCCCACTTACTCGTTGGGGAATACCCGCCGTCTCTCTGTCTCCGCTCTTTGCAATTCAATTGCCATTCCGGTGCTGATGCTGCATCGTCATTATCATCATCATCCCAGAAACCTTATCAAATGCAAAACCCACACAATAATGATGGAGCAGTAGCAGCAGGAGGGGTGGAGGAGGAGCTGGATCAGCTCTGGAGAACCATTATTATTATTATGATTATCGCAAACGGCAAGTGCAACTGCAGCAGCGACAGCGACTAACTGCACTTGAGCTATATTATCATAATCCTAGCAGAAATTGCGCACAGTCAGCAGTAGCAGCAGCAGCAGCAGCAGCAGCAGTAGCAGTAGCAGCAGCAGCCGCACTATTGCCAGCAGAAGAGGAATTTTAAAATTCATTGAATTCGATGGTGGCGGAATGCCAATACTCAACAAAACCCATCCCAAAACTCACACTCAACCCCACAGCAATTCCATAATTTAAATCGCTCTTGTCCCAAAAAGAAAAATAAACAAACTTGGCGTGGCGCTGTGACCTCATTAGTTCCAATCAAAGCCACAAATTCAAGAGGGTTTCCAATTTAACTATAGAAAATGCTTTATATTATTAAAGTAAGCAATTTAATAAAATTCAATACAGCCATTAAATAAATTCCAAGTGTTCGCTCTCCCAAGTAAATCCCTGTTCCTAGACTCTTAGTCCACGCAAATCTTAAGCGGCATTCAATTTAAAGTTTAATTCTTCCACCAAAGCAGTGGGAAAACTTTACCTTTAAGTTTTTGCCAGAAGAGAAAGAGCTTTAGTTTTAAATTATTAAAACGTAGGAGAAGACCAGGCTTAGTTGCCGTAGCTATTCCGCCACTTCTCCTTTCTTCCTTCCTACACAACTCGTTGGCCAGCCAGGAGGCCAGGATGGAAAATGGACGAGTTGAGGCAAGGCGATTCCACTCGGTGAGCCGGCTTCGGGGGTAATGCAACTAATCTGCTTCTAGTGGCGCACATTAAGTGTTGCCACGCTTTCGACTTTAATTTCAAAACATAAAGCAGAAAGGCGTGGGGTGTGGGACGGGTGGTGTGCGGCCAAAGTGCGGGCCACTTCTGCAACCTATATACACACGCACACACACACAGCCAGAGAGGACTTTATTTTTTCCTTCCTCTACTGCTAGAGCGCTGGCCATTTTTGCATGCAACTCAACCTAACCGAGCGACCACTCGAAGCCCCAACGCGAACCCCCACTCTCAAGCCAGGGAACCGAACCGAAGGGTTAGATTCTGGAAAACCCAAACCAAAACCAAATGCAGAGCGAACGAGCCATGACATCGACGTTCTTCTTTTGCACTCTCCTCCAGCAGGCTTTCGCCTCTTTTCCTTTGGATCCTGGATTCTGTAATGAGTGGGTTATGCAAAATGTGGAGTTGTGATCGACCCAAGATATACTCATTGAATTGAAATATTTCTTTCGAAAATTAATTAATAATTTAATACAATTCGTAGTTTTTATTAGGATTGTTTTCTGCATTTTAATTGGGAGAGTATATATATTAAGAGTACCAATTTACCGCTCAGCTCATCATACCCCCAGCATAATACAAAGAGTAGTTAGCCGTGCATAAAAACGGGTCATATTTGCCGCCATTCCAGCCCAATGTGTGTGTGTATGTGCCCGTGCATCCTTCAGTCAACCCACCTCCCACTCATTTTGTTCCCCTTGGCATCCCGCACTTGGCTTAGCTTATTTATGTCACAAATATGAGCCAAAGCGTACGCAATGCCACGTATGGATGGACTCGCCTCGGATATGGCACCTGTGCCCCGCCGCCTCCCAACGCCACCCACTTGCCTCACTAGAAACTCACCCTCTCCGCCCACACCTGACGCTGCTTTTGCCACTTTGCATGCATCGCTGCGTGTTTGGCATATTTAACAAATTTTCACAAAAATAATGTAACTCTCCATGCCGAGAACTCGCCTCTCTCTGCTGTTGTTGTGGCTGCGGTTATTTTCGCCGATCCACACATACACGCAGAGAAAAGTGGGGGGCTGGGGAGTGGTGAAAAGTGAGTGGCAAAATCTAATCAAGCGCTGCGGCAACGGCCACACACACACACAGATAGACATCGCCATCAAAATGCACAGGGAAAACACACAGGGAGGCACACACGCTGACTGAGACAAGCAATAAGCCACATGATGAAAAGTCGACCCACAAAAGCAATTTAACCTTATTGAAAGTAGCGAATGGAAAAACGAATAAGGGGCAACGTCCAACGTCCGTTGGTATTGTAAATATTTTTTAAATTTTATAAAATGTTAAAATCGGGGGTAAATGTATAAATATACTAACAGATTATCAAATTGGATTCCCTTATTAACAATATTACGAACTACTTCTTTATTGATCAAATTTACTAAATATTTATATAATAAAATTTTAATATATAAAATATAAACCAAAAACAAGCTATATCATAAAACGTATAAATGTGGAATCCTTATATCAAGCAACACCTAACTTTCACTTTTTCAGTCGAATAACGGTTTCACATAGGTACATATGTATATATCACCTTTTCACCTGCCTAATGAAATTTTCTTTCCGCCAAAAGCCAGACCCTACCATTCAGTCCAGACTCGAATGCATTATTAAATTTAATTTCGAGCCAGCCAGAAGAGCTGCCGACAAAATTATGGCAAATACTTTGGCTCTTGTATAAAATTTAAATTTTAATCGACAGTTAAACGGAGGGCAAAATGTGCTTCCAAAAATGTTCGTATTTCAATTGCGGGATTTGCAGTTTTCTGGGCGGTTTTATATTCCTTTTTTTTTCAATACTCTTTTGAAAGGAGAGTTATTACGGCTAATTCAAGTTGTTTAAATACAATAACATGAGGTCTAAATTCTTGGGTTTTCTATATATTCTGACTTGAAATACATTTTTTATTTTCAGTATACTTTTTTGTGGGGATTGCATAAAGGAAATTTACATTTTAATTGGATTGAACTTGTGTTGCTTTGCTGCGTTTAATCTATTTTCCTTTCTTTTCTTGCCTCACACATAAAAGAAAATATTGAATATCAAATGGAGTTGCAAAGAGGAGAAAGTTGAAGTACAGCAGCAGTAGCAGCACCAGAAGCTAGCTAGCAAAGGACTGCTAACGAGGATTATGCATATATATCACAAATAATTGCAGTAACAAGGGGAACTTTGGCGTATAAATTTCCATTAAGAGGCGGCGCCCGAAGGAAATAAATTCAAACACCCTTCGATAATAAAAAGGAGGACGACGAGAAACCAATTTCAACAAACTTGCCTCATTTATCAATGCGGCCCAAACGATGGACAATAGTTCGTACAGGTTAATAAATCGATATGACATGAAAGCCACAGAAATGTCCTTGCAACAACAACAAGCCAAT